ATATATATATATATATATATATATATATATATATTAGTCAAAGACAACACGAGTCAAGTTTTTTACAATTTAGGAAAAACAAAATCCAAAACTGCATAGTTCTTTGTGAAAAGTCGACATCTGAATGGCTGAAGACAAAGAAAATGAAGATTGTGGAGTGGCCTAGTCAAAGTCCTGACCTGAATCCAATTGAGATGCTGACATTAAAAAGGCAGTTCATGCTCTAAAATCCTCCAATGTGGCTGAATTACAACAGTTCTGCAAAGATAGGTAGAACTAGCTTGTAGATTCGAGTGAGGATATTTAGAGTATCTCTCTACACACTCCCCCGTAGAATGACAACACGAGCCAGAAAACAAACTGATTTAAAAGAAGGTGGCGTTTCAGAACACACCCACTGATTGAGTAATCACCATGGACCAATGGTGGCTCAAAGAGGTTTATGAGCCAAAACCAACTCCTCCATGTATTATAAAGTGGTGTGAAAACGTGTTTGCCCACTTACTGATTTTGTACTTTTTTGTCATGTTTGTCACTCTTTCAAATTTTATATCATCAAACTAATTTAAATATTAGTCAAAAACAACACAAGTAAACACATCATGCAAGGTTTTTATTATTAAAGGAAAACAAAATACAAAACTGCATAGATATTTGTGAAAAAGTCCACTTCTGAATGGCTGAAGACAAACAAAATGAAGAATTTGGAGTGGCCTAGTCAAAGTCCTGACCTGAATCCAATTGAGCTGCTGACCTTAAAAAGGCAGCTCATGTTCTAAAACCTCCCAATATGGCTGAATTACAACAATTCTGCACAGATGAGTGGGTTAAAACTCCTCCACAGCGCTGTGTTACATTTATTGCAAGTTATGGAAAACACTTGATTGCAGTTGTTGCACATTTTCACACAAGGCTATGTAGTTGGGAATGTAGCTCCTTCATTCATTCATTTTCCTTCAGCTTAGTCCCTTTAATCATCAGGGGTAGCCACAGCGTAATGAACAGCCAGATTATCCAGCATATGTTCCCAGTACTGGGAATTAATTTAGTTTTCCCTTAATAATAAAAACCTTCATCGTCAGAATTTGGTATCAACAACATGGAAGCATGGGTCCATCCTGCCTTGTATCAACGGTTCAGGCTGGTGGTGGTGGTGTAATGGTGTGGGGGATATTTTCTTATCACACTTAAGCCCATTAGTACCAACTGAGCATCATGTCAACGCCACAGCCTACCTGAGTATTGTTGCTGACCATGTCCATCTCTTTATGACCACAATGTACCCATTTTCTGATGGCTACTTCCAGCAGGATAACACACCAGGTCATAAAGCGCGAATCATGTCAGACTGGTTTACTGACCATGACAATGAGCTCACTGCACTCTAATGGCTCTCACACGTCACCAGATGTCAATCCAATAGAGCACCTTTGGGATGTGGTGGAACGGGAGATTCGCATCATAGGCGCAGCCAACAAATCTGCAGCAACTGCATGATGCTATCATGCTATCAAATCTCTGACGTAAATTTCCAGTACTTGCTTAATCTATGTTAGGCAAAATGGGGTCCAATCAGTACTAGTACTAGTAAGGTGTACCTAATAAAGTGGCCGGGAGAGTATTTGTAAACATAAACATCTGTTAACAACTGTGCTTTAGGCTTTGATGACCCTTTAAGCAAAGAAGCCGAAGGATGAATGTTTGTCATTAGAGTAATGAGAAGAAGGGGGATTCATTAACGATTCGAAATGTCACAATGCAAAAAATGTAAATGGGCCTAAAAATAGTCATTATGAGTCACCCAAACACTGCGTGCAGAGGGAACGCAAACCTCTACAGCCTTTAAAAAAAAAAAAAAAAAAAAAAAAAAATTTCTTCATGTTCAACACTAAATTTATCTCGCAGAAAAACACTGCTCTCCCCCAGGATGAGGACGTGTTTGTTCCCATGAGTGCTGTGATGTCACCTGTCAGTGTAATTGTTACTAATTGTGTATGTGAGCTGCTGTCGGCAGGTAATCAGCTCCTCTTATCAGCCGTTCACATTCACATTAATACACTATTATTTTGAAAACTGTGATCGTGATTAACTCATCGCTATCAGAGAACACGACTCAGTCTCAGTCACGACCACGATGAAGAGATGAAGAGAGAACAGACAACTGAAGGTTTGAGCAACAAACAAAAAAAAAAATACAGAAGAATGAAAATAAATAGAATAAAAAGAATAAATAGCACACACAGAATGAATTAAAATAAAGCGATAAAGAACACATCAACAAGATACAGCAATTTAACGTTAACAAACTGAAAAGCTAAACATTAGAAAGACTGAAGAAAACAACAAATAAAAGAATGAAAGACCGACAACTATAATAAAACTAACCAATAATAAAAGAACTAAAAAAAGAACAAACACAAAATAAAGAAACAGAACAACAACATAAAGGCTGATTTATACTTCTGCGTCAAACGCCGGCATATGCTACAGTGCTGACTAGGGATGTAACGGTATTGTAAATACCGTCATACCGCAATATTAATTTTTTTCGATATTACCGAAGTCGCATGACTCGGTAAAACTATAGGTCTTCTGAGAAAATTTGCTCAGGCGAATGAAGCGAACGGGACGTAGCTGAAACTACATTTCCCATCAGCCCAGGCGTGGCCATAATCCTTTGCGGTCTGTTGTCGCTACAGATCCAGTAATGCGGAAATGGAGTGTGCTGCTAGTAGCGGAGATGAAAAAAAGATGGAAATGATCGAACCTAAAGCGGGTGTTGTCGCCGCGCGCGTGCTGAATAGCGGTGCTGTCGCGCGCGTTCTGATCAGCTGTGTTGTGGCGCACGTTCTGATCAGCTGTGTTGTGGCGCGCGTATTGTAAAGCGCCGAGGGGGGGTTGAGCGCGCATATTCAAGAGAGGTGTTGTCGCGCGCCTACTGAAGGGCTGGATTGGACGGAGGTTGTGTCGCGTCGCGGGGGCACTTTTGATCGTTTTGGAAGGGCATTTTCTATCCAAGACTAAAAAGGGCATGCGCACTGCACAGGTTGAGCCCTATGTGTGCACGTGCCTGCAAGTTGGGGAATACGACTAATAACAGTCATGGGGACTGCAGAAACACAGCACACTGTTCAGATTGATGCAGACATTGACTTGTACCGCAAAGAGATCTCTATCTCACTCATGGTTTGTCTTCTCAAGTGGGGGAAAGACAATGCACAACGTTACCCACTGCTGTCAACATGGGCCAAGTCATATCTCTCTTGTCCCAGAAACCTCAGTCCCAAATGAGAGGGGTTTTTTCTGTTGCAGGGGACATTGTAAATACCCAGAGATACCAGCTTTTACCAGATTATAGTTATATGATAATTTTCCTTTAAACCCATCTCTATCTAAGTGAGTGATTAAATGTTAAATGTGATGAGTTTTCAACAATACTAAATTGAAACTTTAATTTTTTACATGGTTTAATATTTTTTTGTTATTAAAATTGAAGTTCCTGTTTCAAAGCTTACAGATAGATGGCTAATTTGTATGTCATTGACACTTTTGGCACTTTTTTGGAGTATTTTCAAAAGTTTTTTTTTCCTGTAAATGATTCAATAAATACCGTACCGTGACATTCATACCGAGGTATTACCGAACCGTGAAATTCTGATACCGTTACATCCCTAGTGCTGACGCATAGCCCTTCGCCGTGGCCGTCGGCGTCACTGACGTGCACCTCTTAAAACAATGTAACTACACGTTGCAACGACGCGTAGCGCAAGCTCTGTGATTGGTCGGCTTGGTAGCGCTGACGAGTCTGGGTGGGACCGAGAGCCGCGCGAATGGTGCGAGCCTGACGGAGCGATTGTTTACAAGTGTGGAGTCCCGTGAAGGAGCTCCGGATGGAAAGTTTTGTTTTGTGTTTACCTCATAGTTAAAGTTGTTGCACGTCCGCCGGTTCCTGCCTCAAAATGAGCGAGTTTGAGCCACTTGTACATCCAGGAAGTGTTCAGGAAAAGCAAAACAGCAGAGAAGAAACTCGACACAGAGAAACATTTACACCTCACTGCCAACTAGCGTTTCGGAAGTGTTAATGCAGACCGACAGAGACAGCGCGCAGAAGTATAAATGCACAGCCACGCGCGTTGCATGCGCCGTGGGTTACGCCGGTCACTTGACGCAGAAGTATAAACCAGGCTTAAGATTATTAGATAACAAACAACTGAAATACGTTAAAAGTGAAAACAATAACTGGGGTCTGTTCTTCGTACGTGGATTACTCAATTAGCTAGATTTGAATATTGATGATTTGACAGGATCCAGGACTGTTTAGTTCTTTAAAACTTATCTGAGACTTGTCTTAGCAACAGTTCTGGTAGCTCAGGTTTATTTCATATAAACAGGATTAGATCGGGTCAGTTCAAGCAAAGATAATACTGAAAGTATGTACTGAATGCTGATAATTTCTTACAGTAATAATAAATAATAATAATAATAATACTTATGCAATCTGAACTGCGAAATAAAAGTACCAAACTTGCCACCTGGTTGTTCAAAGAGAAAATGTATTGATTTAACTTTTTAGATACAACCGTGTACATGCACGATATTCGACTTAAAAAATAAATAAAAAGGATAATAATTTATGCAGTCATGCACGTGTTTTGACCGCTAATATGCCGGTGATTGACACCTTTACCGGTATCAAAATGCTTTTTTTTATGCGAAATTAATTTACAGTTATTGCTTACGCCGATTAAAAAAACTTGAGTAGGCCTATAGGCTACTATAATAAAGAAAGTCTTCTCTAAATGTAGAACTAAATACATTGAAATTCAGTGAAATACATGATGAATACTCTTGACACATGAAAGTGTAAAGCCTGCAGCTCACAACAAAAGTGGAGAGTTATTGCGTGTCATATTTAACAAACCGTTTACTGCTAATTTAATGTAATTTTGCTCACATTGAGAATTGAATATTAATCAGATGATGTCATTACGCTGCTGTGCTGTTAGCCAATCGTTGCATTGCTGATCATGATTTCAAGGATCGATAGATCTGTCCTTCACAACACACGCAGCGATCTCAGATCAGTTCATCCAGACATTCTAATCTGATTCGCGAACTAGTTTGAAGAACCAAATAAGTGCGAGATCAGTTATCAAGATCAAAAGATCCAGGATCTGCCAAATCATCTTAGATCATTTAAGCGAGGTATGAAGAACGGACCCCTGAACAAAACGACTGAGATAAAAGAAAAAGAACGAACAATGAATGGCAACGTACACAAAAACAGATCTGCAAAAATTCACGAAACTAAAACTGACAATAAAAAACGACAATGAAAAGAATGGAAAAACAAACCAAGAAAGAGAAAGCAAGAGAGAAAACAAAAACTATTCAAAAAAGAGAAACAAACAATCAAATCAACAGAAATGAGACAGTGGGCCCTATCATAACCAAGGCGCAAGACGTGTTTGGCACGATTTGTTGTTATTTTCAGACCAACGCAACTGTCATTTTCACGTTTTGCACCATGTTGTTTAAATAGCAAATCCATTTGCCCAATGTTGTGGACTCATAGGTGTTCCGGTCTGAAAAGAAGGTGTTAAGGCACAGTGATGGCGCACTGCTAGCTTGAGGAACTGAAATAGGCTGCGCCATTGACAACTAAAAGCCATTCTAAAGTTCAGCGCAAAGCGCGTTAGTTATGCGTTTATACAGGTCCAAACAAAAGGAGGAGGCTCGTTCTTTATCCTCGCGCTGCAAATGCTCCGTTTAACTGTTTTCTTCCTAGTGAAGCGTGTCTCCCTAGTGACCCAACTGACTCTGGGAGACTCTGATTGGTTTAATGCAAATTATGCTCAAAACACACCCATAACTCATTAAGAGAATAAGCACATCCCTGTTAGACCATGCACTGGGGCGCAGAGCGAATTTTTTCATCCCTAATATAGCAAAAGTGGATTCGGACATGCCCTTGATGCTTTTGCGCTTTAGACTTTGTGCCTAGATCACTTAAACAGAGCCCAAGGACATCACCTCATTTATTATGTGTTCTAGAATACATGACTTATGAAGACACAAATATGTATGATGACATGAATTTATCACAAAAACATGGCTTATAAGGACCTTGTAAAATATATAACAATACATATTAACCAAGTTTTTTTTTTTTACAATTAAAAAACATCAGAACTTTGCTGTGAAAGTTATGTTGAAGTGTTGGATAAGCACAGAATGATCATTATAAAAGTCATTTTGTCTGTGTGTGTGTGTCTTTTTCTTACCCTGAACCTGTACGTGGTGCTTCTGTGGAGGTTTCTGACAGTGTGTGAAAGCTCTTCTCCATCATAACTGGCCTGGAATCCATAACCCTATAAAAACATTATACGAGCATATCAACAAACGGAGTTCAGTTTACTACCTCTGCAGACATTAATAACTCTGTCTGTAGAATAAGCAGTGGTCGACCAATATATATACTGTATGTCAACTAATATATGCAGATATATGACTAATATATGTCAACCAATATGACTGATATATGTCCACTGATCTATATAGATATGTCAACTAATGTATATAAATATGTTGACCGATATATGATTGATATATGTCAACCAATATGACCAATGTATGTCGATTGATACATGTCAACCAATGTACATAGAAGTCAACCAATATACTGTATGTTGGCTAAAATATGACTAATATCTCAGCCAATATGACCGATATGCGTCAACCGATATATGACCGATATATGTCGACCAATGTCAACTAATGTATATAGATATGTCAACCTATACATGTTGGGCGATATACGATTGATGGATGCCAAGCGATATATGTCAACTGATATTTGCTAGAAGCTATATGTTAGACAATTTATGACCGATATATGTTGACAGATATATAACTGATATAAGTCAACTGAAATGTCTGATATATGTCGGCCGATATACGTCAACATATATATATATATATATATATATATATATGTGTCAACCAATGTATACAGATATGTCAACTGACATATGTTGGCCGATATATGACCAATATATGTTGACAGATAAATGATTGATATATGTCAACTAATATATGTTAAGCAATGTACATATATATGTCAACCGATATATGTTGGGCCACATATGATCAATATATGTTGACCAATATATGACTAATAAATGTTGACAGATATATGATTGATAGATGCCAACCGATATATGTCAACCAACGTACATACAGTAGATATGTCAACTGATATATGCTAGAAGCTATACGTTGGACAATATATGACCGATATATGTTGACATATATATGACTGATATACATCAACTGAAATGTCTGATTTATGTCCACCGATATATGTCAACTGATTATATATATATATATATATATATATATATATATATATATATATATAAATAAATATATATGTCCACCAATGTATACAGATATGTCAACTGACATATGTTGGCCGATATATGACCGATATATGTTGACATATATATGATTGAAGGATGTCAACCGATATATGTCAACCAATGTACATAGAAATGTCAACCGTTATATGTTGGGCCATATACAATTGATATACGTTGGCCTATATATAACTGATATATGTTGACATATTTGATTGATAGATACCAACGGATATATGTCAACCAACGTACATACAGTAGATATGTCAACTGATATATGCTAGAAGCTATATGTTGGACAATATATGACAGATACATGTTGACAGAAATATGACTGATATCCGTCAACTGAAATTTCTGATTTATGTGCACGGATATATGTCAACCAATATACATAGATATGTCAACCGATATATGCTAGAAGCTATATGTTGGACAATATATGACCTATATATGTCAACTGAAATGTCTGGCATATGTCCACCGATATATGTCAACCGATGTATACAGACGTCAACCAATGTGTATAGATACGTCAACCTATACATGTTGGCCGATATATGACCGATATATGTTGACATTTATATGACTCCTATATTTCAACTAATGTGACTTATATATTTCGACTGATATATGTCAAGCAGTCAATATACATATGCCAGTCAATGTATATAGATTTGTCAACAGATATATGATTGATGCATGTCAACTGAAATATGTTGACCAATATTTGTCAACCGATATGACCGTTCGACTGATATATGTCAACTAATGTATATAGATTCTAAAACTTGTTCAATTCAGAGAGAAAGCGGAGTCGACCCCTGAACTCTACAGCAATAATACACTTGAATTCCTTTATATGTGTATTCAGGAATATTTGCTGTATCTGACTGTCCATGATTGTGATTATGTATGAGAACTCACGGATCCCTGCTCCTCCATCTCCAGCACGTAGCCGGTGTCGTCTTCTTTGGGCGATCCGGCGGGTCTGTGCCAGCGAATGCATAGCCATGTGACCCCAGACTGAACCAACTCAGGGCTCAGAGGGGGAGCAGGAACACTGCAGGATGTCATGATGTTCACCACTTCACTGAATTCACTGCGGACAGAGAGGTAAACGCATTCATTCATGTCAAATTAGAACAGGACAAGAATGGCACAGTTTAACAGTGCGTTTCAACTAGCTTATTTTAACATACTGCTAAAAAACAGCATGCTAGCTTTATTGATTCAATTAGTTAGATTTAACAATTTGGTAGCACTTCTAGCATAATGCTAATGAGTTTAAAGATATGTTTTAGCCTGCTACTGGTAGATCTGTGATCCATTTGCATAGATCGTAATGAAGCATTGTACAATATTAGTCAAATGCTATGTATCCTAGAGCTAACGTCTCCACTGTTTTATAATCTTGCTAACATGTTTACACATTACTACATAGTTTCTAACATGTTAGAAGTGTTTTTTTAAGTTGCTAACAAACATTGTTAACATGTTTTAGACCTTTGCTGTTTTAAATTGTTAGCTGTGTCATAAGACTAGCATGTTTTGGCAATGTTAACATGTTTCAAACATGCCACAAACATATTTTGACATATTAACATGTTGCTAGCTTATTTTAACGCATACTGCTAAGCTCTTAGCACATCGCTAACATGTTGCTAGCATGTTGTACAATGTTGCTGACTATTTTTAACAGCATGTTAGCTTTAATGATTCGATTTGTTAGATTTAACAATTTGGTAGCACTTTTAGCATATTGCTAACAAGTTCAAAGCTTTTTTTTAGCCTGCTAGTGGTAGATCTTTAATATATCTGCATAAGCTTCTAAGAGTTTTAAACATTTGGTCATAACAAGATATTTTTAACCTTTCAAAAATCAGAAATGTTTTTAGTTTTTGATAAAGATCGTTATGTAGCATTGTACGATATTAGCCATTGGCTATGCATCCTGGAGCTAACGTCTTCACCGTGTTTTTTTTATAATCTTGCTAACGAGTTTAAACGCATTACTACATTGTTTCTAACATGTCTGGAGTGTTTTACAATGTTGCTAACAAACATTGTTAACATGTTTTAGAACTTTGCTGTTTTAAATTGTTAGCTGTGTCATATTACTAGCATGTTTTGGCACTGTTAACATGTTTCAAACATTCCACAAACATATTTTAACATATTAACATGTTGCTAGCTTATTTTAACATATACTGCTAAGCTCTTAGCACATAGCTAACATGTTGCTAGCATGTTGTACTATGTTCCTAACTATTTTTTAACAGCATGTTAGCTTTAATGAATCGATTTGTTAGATTTAACAATTTGGTAGCACTTTTAGCATAATTCTAACCATTTAGCTATGTTTTTAGCCTGCTACTGGTAGATCTGGGATTCATTTGGATACACTTCTTAGACTAGTTTTAAACAATTAGTAATTTTAACAAATTTTCCTAACCTTTCAAAGTTAGAAAAAAAATATATATATATTTTTATCATATTAGCACTCGACTAACAGCTAGTTGGTCAAAGTTATATTTTGTATAGACGTTTATATAAACGCTTTCTCAAGCTAATATAATAAATACCCATAAAATCCTTACAGAGGGTTTTTAAAAATTCAATAATTTAAACAAGATCTTGATACTCAGAATGACTACAATTATTATTCTATTTTGGTATAATTTTACATAAAGCTTGAGGTATCCTGAACTTTAGATGTTGTGTGTGCTTTAGAAATGTCCTCTCTCTGCTTCAGGATCTGGACTGAGGGGCGTTCTGAGCAATACACACCTGACCCCCATGTCGTTTTTGGCCGCCAGCCGAAAGGAATATCTGGAAGCTGTGGAGAGTTTGGTGAGTCTGTACTGCTTATATGGGCCGTAGTAACACTGGACAAACGTAGCATCCGTTCCCTTCCCCTGTTTACAGATCACAGAACAGTTACATTACATTCAATTATACAGTACCGAAAACAATAATTCTAATGAAAAAATGGGTAACACCTTAAAATGAATTTATACTTCTGCGTATATAATAAAGTTAACTTCACATGCAAATCGATTGCGAATAAAGTAATCTTTACACACATGTAAATAAATTGAGCTTAATGCACAAATTAAGCAAACTTCTCACGCTAATAAAGCTAACTTCATGAGTGAATAAAGCGAACTTTATGCAAATAAAGTCAACTTCTCGGGCTAATAAATCAAACTTCACAAACTAATGAAGCGAACTTCTCACGCTAATACAGCAAACTTCTTACGCTAAAAAATCAAACTTCACAAGCTAATAAAGCCAACTTCTCATGCTAATAAAACCAACTTCACGCGCGAATAAAACCAACTTCACGCGCGAATAAAACCAACTTCACGCGCGAATAAAACTAACTTCACACACTAATAAAGTGAACTTCTTGCACATATAAAGATAACTTTACGAGCAAATAAAACAAACTTCACTCGCTAATAGTGAACTTTTTGCACTAACTTAACACGAAAAAAAATGGCAAGCGCAAAAAAAATTTTATTTGCAAATTTCACTTGCAAATAAAGCATACTTCACTCACAAAAAAGCGAACTTCACACGCTAATAAAACAAACTTCACTAAGGACTAATGCGAACTTCTCGAATTAACAAAGCGAACTTCTTACGCTAATAAATCAAACTTCACAAGCTAATAAAGCCAACTTCTCATGCTAATAAAGCCAACTTCACGCGCGATGAAAAGCCAACTTCACGCGCGATGAAAAGCCAACTTCACGCACGATGAAAAGCCAACTTCACGCACGATGAAAAGCCAACTTCACGCGCGATGAAAAGCCAACTTCACGCGCGATGAAAAGCCAACTTTACACACTAATAAAGTGAACTTCTTGCACAAATAAAGGCAACTTTATGCGCAAATGAAACAAACTTTACTCGCTAATAGTGAACTTCTCGCACTAACTTAACATGAAAAAAAGCCAAGCGCTAAAAAAAGCAAATTTCACTTGCAAATAAAGCATACTTCACTCACAAAAAAGCGAACTTCACACGCTAATAAAACAAACTTCACTAAGGACCAAGGCAAACTTCTCGAATTAACAAAGCGAACTTCTTACACTAATAAATCAAACTTCACAAGCTAATAAAGCCAACTTCTCATGCTAATAAAGCCAACTTCACGCACAAATAAAACCAATTTCACGCACGAATAAAACCAACTTCATGCGCGATGAAAAGCCAATTTTACACACTAATAAAGTGAATTTCTTGCACAAATAAAGCTAACTTTACGAGCAAACAAAACAAACTTCACTCGCTAATAGTGAACTTCTCGCACTAACTTCACGTGAACAAAAATGCCAAGCGCTAAAAAAAAAAGCAAACTTCACTTGCAAATAAAGCGTACTTCACTCACAAAAAAGCGAACTTCACACGCTAATAAAGCAAACTTCACTAATAATGCGAACTTCTTGAATTAACTAAGCAAACTTGCGCAAATAAATAAAATGTACTTCAAGCGTAAATAAATAAATCAAACTTTACGCACGAACAAACCCAACTTTCCAAAAGCCAACTTCACAAACAAACTTCAAGTGAACTCAAAATTTTCAAGCATCTAATTATGCACAAATAGTGAGATTTACTCGTGCAAGGTGCATGTGAACATGCCATAAGAAACGCTTTATTTTTATTTTACTCAAACACACAAATCGTAAAACCAAAGAAACAGGAAAAAAATAATGCGTTCTCCTAATTTCTTGCAATATACCAATTAAATAAAATCACATACCTCGTCCCAGTGAAGGATATAGTTTTGGATCTTGGAACCGTTGTCACATGGAGCCTGTGCAGAAAATATTTCTGTCAATGCTGTGAACTTCAGTTATGTACGAGTGTTACAGTGAGTGTGTGTTTGTGCTCACCTTCCACTGCAGGACGAGGCTGCTCTTGGTGCCGCTGAGCTTTCGGGGAGGACTGGGAGTGTCAGGCTCACAGCTCAGAGTGGTGAAGCTCACAGCCTCTGATGGGACGCCTTGTAAACAGTTACACGTCGCCTGGACCCTAAACACATGTATACGAATAGTAATATACAGAAATGACATGATTACCAAGATTAAACTCAGCTTTTAATATATATATATATATATATATATATATATATATGTATGTATATATATATATATATATATATATATAAAATAATGTAAATATATTTATAAATATAAATTAAATATAAATAAATAAATAAATATAAAAATAATAAATATAAAATATAAAATAATGTAAATATAAAATATAAAAATAATAAATATAAATAAATATAAATATAAATATTTATATATATATATATATATATATATATATATATATAAAAATTACACAGATGTGTATATATATATATCTCAGCCAAAGCAATAGTTCGCTCTTAAAAGTCAAAATCGCACAAACCTGACATGGTAGTCTGTTGCTGGTCTTAAGTCTTGTAAGGTTGCACTTAGTTCCACACCACTAACACACACAAAGACAGAAAAAGTCATTTAATACGTTTAAACAAAACATTTATAGTTTGCTCTAGCTACTGCGTCTGCGCAATGATTGGCATGCCCCCTATCTCCATTACAGCTGTTTCCACAGTCGTCATGACCAGCGGATGTGGTTATAAGCACTGAAAGAACAGAAGGTGCATTTTAAATCACACTATTCTAGGCCGTTCTGTTGTATAAATAGCGTATGTAGTGCGTTCACGATAAAATACTCGTTTTATTCGAAAAAGAATAAGCATACTTCAAATACCCAGATGACACACATATTAAACTGTTAAACGTGTGTAATGTTAAACACTTCGCACGCTCAAAGCTCGCAGCTTTACTTATGCAGCAAAAGGGGAGGAGCTTCAGCAATTAATCAGCAATTTTTTTTTTTATAAAAAAAATTGGTTTTGATAATCAAACAAACAAATGGTACAATAAAATATTGGTGACACATCGAAACAGGCCGTGTATTAACAACTTCTGCTGAAAATATTGCAATAGTACGCTGTATCGATATAATAGTACGATTATCGACATCACTCATTTGCCAGATGTTATTAAACGCATTTCCTAAACTGCTTTCAATTGGACAGAATTCACGTGCGGTTAACGCCAATGAACTCCCGCAAGTAAACAAACCGGCAGACACAAACCGGCGCTTTTGACTATGGAGTATACTATATAGTTTGTATACAACACTTTAGACAAACGATACATTTAGAAAATGAAGCGCGGCTGTGGCTGGAAAACAATGTTTTAAGGCATTGCAAATAGCGATGGCGCATTGCTGGTCAATTCAGGAGGAGTGAATTAATTTTGCTAAACTGTGACATGGTCATGTTCCGGAAATTTACAACGATCCTTCAGGTAAAGTTTTCCCCATCAGGTAATGTTTTCCCCTCTCTCTGTGTTGGTAAAGCGTGGTCAACAAATATTTTATAAATATTTTCCTCCACATTCCATAATGCACAGCGCATCGGCCTACGGCAGCTGGATTAGTCCAAAAGGTGCAGTACTTTTTGTGGTAGGGTCTGTTTTAGTTCGAATTATTTTCCCACCAAAAACGACCTGCTCCAGTGTTCGTTTGAAAGCGTCTTCAAGGAGGTCTCGATACGCTTTTTTGGTCTGCTTTTGGTGTGCACTCGAGTACGATTGCTGCATTCACACCTGCCCAAACGAACCACACCATGAGGGAAAACGAACTCTAGTGCGATTCAACCCAACTAAATAAGGCAGGTGTGAAAGCACCCTTAAGCCGCCTTTCCACTGCACACGACATTTGGACACGACTGTCGGAATACGCCCCTTGTGGCAGCCGCACAATATTTTCAGTGTTGTCATGCACCACAGGGGACAAGGTGATTCTCAACGGTGTCCGAAATAAAGGACTGCAAAAGCGATAGCCTTTATTCTCTGTGCGTTTACATGGTTTGGATGAATGAATACTAGAAACTCATAGACCGCTAAAATATTGGTGGGAATGTGAGGACAACATTAAAAATAAATATTTTTATTACTTTCTTACTTACATTTATAAACAATTATAATTCAAAAAATAACCAAATAAACTCCTATTTCTCATCTCGCGCGCACGGATCTGCTTGGACAACACTGGAATACATCATATCCAGTCGGCAGGTCGCATACGGTCTAGTCGCAGGAGTTCAAATATTTCAACGGATTCGCAGCTAAATTCGGATCCGAATTTTGCTCATACAGAGATGATCGGAACTCAACGCAGCTCCCGGACTACTCTCCATTGGAAATGAATGACTTCCGGTCTGTCGCTTGTCGTGTGCAGTGGAAAGGAGGCTTCAGTTTACCTCACTTTCATTTTATTGCTAAAGCTCAAAATGGGACAGTCAACCAGACAAAATAACCAATGATTCAATAATAAACCTGTCAAAAATGCTGTATGTATCTTTCTTTTATACCGCCATCTCACTGCTTTCCAAGTAAGCTCATCGTTGACTATTTACCTATGTTCGTAATGCACTTTTTTCCCTATTCATATTAATGTTACTGAACAGTCTTTGTATATCTACAGCCTTTTTATAACAACTGCACAGATGGTAAATTTGGTTCAACATAAGACGCTCTTCAGGAAGTGTTGTAATCTGATGAACTGCTGGTGACCTTTGATCACAAAACAGCCCCAGTAAACCACAGGCATCAGCAGTGAGTTCCTCATCTGAACCCACATCCTCCTCATACAGACGCTCTCTCTCTCTTTCTCTCACCTGTAGGCGCTCTTGTATTTCCCATCTTTGCCGTTGTAAGAGATAGAGACTTCATATGTGAAGTTGGGCTCCACAGGCTCGTCTTCTCCCTCTTTGGGCTCATCATCACCTTCTGTCCGCGACGGGGACACCCAAGTTAAACTGGCCCCTCTGGCCTGGATGTTTGTCACCTGATGATAAAACATGGTGCAATTAGACATCGATAACTCAATTTATCATGATAATGAACATGGATATAGCGGTAGTTTATCTCACTTCAATTTTATTGCTACAGCTCAAAATAGGACGGTCAACCAGACAACATAACCAACGGTTTAATGTAAACCAGTCATAAATGCTGTATGCACATTTCCGTAAAGCTGCCATCTTTATTTTAGGCTATAAGCCAAAATTTAACACTGCCATCTTTTTCACTGCTTTTCCGAAGCCGGGTTACGGGGCAGCAGTCTTAGGAGAGAACCCCAGACAAGTCCCGAAGCGTTCCCAGAGACATAGTCCCTCCAGCGTGTCCTGGTTCTTCCCCGAGGCAGCCTCCCGGTGGGACACGCCTGAAACACCTCCCTAGGTAGGTGTTCAGGAGGCATCCGAAACAGATCCCCGAGCCACCTCAGCTGACTTCTTTCGATGTGTACTCCGAGCTATAAGGGTGCGCCCTGCCACCCTGCGAAGGAAACTCATTTCGGCCGCTTGTACTTGAGATCTTGTCCTTTCAGTCATGACCCAAAGCTCATGAGCATAGGTGAGAGTAGGAACGTAGAATGACAGATAAATCGAGAGCTTTGCCTTTCGGCTCAGGTCCTTCTTTACCACAACAGACCGGTACATCGACCACATTACTGCTGCCACTGCACCAATCCGCCTGTCAATCTCACGTTCCATCCTTCCCTCACTCATTAACAAAACTCCAAGATACTTGAACTCCTCCACCAGGGGTAAGGACTTTCCTTCAACCTGGAGAGTGCAAACCAATTTTTTCCGGTGGAGCAACATGGCCTCGGACTTGGAGATGCTGATCCTCCCCCCACCCAAGTCACACTCGGCAGCAAACCGCCCCAGTGCATGCTGAAGGGTCATGTTTGATGAAGCCAACAGAACAACATCGTCTGCGAATAACAGAGATGAAATTCTGTGGACCTCCACCAGTCCAAGGCTGCGCTTTGAAATTCTATGAAAATTACGAACAGAATTGCTCCTAGTTGGCCTTGCGGGAGCCCAACATGCACTGGGAACCAGTCTGACTTATTGCCGGCAATGCCAACCAAACTTCTACTCTGCTCATACAGGGATGAGACATCCTTAATAGAGCGCCTCTAACGCATACTCCCAGAGCACCCTCCACAGAATGCCACGAGGGACACGGTCAAATGCCTTCTCCAAGTCCACAAAACACATGTCTCGATTAGCATTCAAAAAAAAAAGCTTTGTGTTTTTTTGGGGTCAAAACTGACCCATTAGAATGTTGTCCCTAGTTTAGTTGGTCTCAAGTCAGCCCTGTATAATAAGACTGACTTCAGATCAAGTCCCCCAAGACATAGTGTTTGCAAACATGGTAAATGTAAGACACAAGTGACAGTGTCAGGGAGAAAAAGGGAGAAAAAAAAAGGCAAAATGACGTAACAAAATGTGTGATCCATTCAACCTGATTACGCTGACAAACCGGATTTAGCACATTTGTCGCGTTCAACTGATTTCAGAGGTTAATTACTCCCAGGGGCCGATTGGCTGCATATTTAACAACATGTGCGGAAATACACACGTCTGCTCGTCTCGCCTGGAAAGAGTTGCTTTAGTTTATTTTTAATGACAAGCAGCGCTTCCCCTCCGGAAACAAAAGAGAACTCCTGTTATGCAAGAGGGAATATTTTTAGCCTGATTTCAGTCGAGAAACAAGTGTCACCTTTAGTTTTAGATGCATGACTATGTTCCTTTTGGGTTTGCAGATGAGAATAGCTCGAGTTGGCGCACATTACTAGGCCAAAACTGACTTAAAAGGAGCTATTTATCTGTGCCTCGCGGGGAACGATTCTCTCTGTGCTTTTTGCTACAGCTTTTCCCACAGCTTGAGCTGTGAAAACAGCCAGTCTATTACTACAGCAACCGATCAGCATAAATCTGACCAACATTTCCAATATTGCATTTTAATTTAGTGAATTAGCAGATGCTTTTGTCCAAATTGAGGAGGCATTCAGCGATTCAATAAAAGGAGGCAATACACAAAAGAAGAGCTACAGTAATTATATAAAGGAACTATTAGCATTTTGATAATTAAGTGCGTGACAGAAGAGTGGCTTCTACATGTGGTCTGTCAAGCCCACTAACCTGTGTGAGGCACACTTCATAAATGCACTATTTATTTATTTGTTTATTACATATGGAATGATTGTAGGTGCAAAAGTGTCGGTTAAAGTGTCAGAACGATGAAAGTGTTTCGACAGGTGGTTTGTCAAACCCACTCACCTGTGTGAGGCACACTCATTCATTCAATATCTTTTCGGTTTAGTCCCTTTTATTCATCAGGGGTTGCCACAGCGGAATGAACCCCCATACTGAATGTAATAGTGTGTATTTATGTGTATATATATATATATATATATATATATATACACACATATATAATAAGTAATCTATTTAATTACTACAGAGAAATGGACAGGGCTGTATTGCCAAAAGGTGAAGTCGCTGTTTCTAGAAACCCCCGATAAAGCAGATTCCAGCTCAGACAAGACAGCCATTCGGCTTCCTGTGTGAATCAAATCAAACAGAACATTAATGAGCCATTACGACAGCCATTACTGTCTTTTTGTGGGGACTGTAATCATGCATGGATGTGGAGTTTCTGTGGAAATGACCGTCATTAAGAAAACTGTTGATGCAGCAAGCGGACGGGAAGTCCTTCAGAAGGTGCTTTCTCACAGAGAAGAGAGTCAAATGTAGCATAACGGCCTTTCCAAATTACCCACTGTAAGGAACAATACAATGTCAACCAGCGATGGACTTGATTTGTTGGCCAGGAAGGGCGATTTATTGACCCATTTTAGCCTATTTTGAGATTTATGGGACGCTGTTTCAAAATGAGCCCATCAGTGGAAGAATCATTTTGAAATATTGTGAAAAAACTAAATAAAACAGTGAAGTGATACCAATAAATTCCCACCTATTCGCAGCTATATGAAGATCTTTCCAGTGTCACATGACTTTCAAACATTTATGACTCTGATGAATATTTAGGTACACCCATTCAACTACTGGTTAACGCAATGGCTCGCTTCCACTGAGCAGTACAGTTCAATACAGTGCAGGTCAACCTGATCAGCCTTGCGTTTGCACTACCAATATTACCCTAGTACGGCATGACTCAAAAAATCAAAAAGTTTTTATTTGTTGCAATTGAAAATGAGTTTTGGGTCATGACCGAAAGGACAAGATCTCGGATACAAGCAGCCGAAATGAGTTTCCTTCAAAGGGTGGCAGGGCGCACTTTTATGGATAGGGTTAGGAGCTCTGACACCTTGGAGGAGCTTGGAGTAGAGCCGCTGCTCCTCCACATCGAGAGAAGTCAGCTGAGGTGGCTTGGGCATCTGTTCCGGATGCCTCCTGGATGCCTACCTAGGGAGGTGTCTTAGGCATGTCTCACCGGGAGTAGGCATTGGGGAAAACCCAGGACATGCTGGAGGTACTATGTCCCTTGGCTGGCTTGGAAACGCCTCAGGACACTCGGAGGAGCTGGAAGAAGTGTCTGGGGAGAGGAAAGTCTGGGGTTCTCTCCTAAGACTGCTGCCCCCACGAATTGGTCCCAGAAATGTGACAGAAAATGAATGGAAATGAGTTCACTAAAAGGTGCAGTAGGTGATTGTCTTCAGAAGCATTTTTTGTTGTGCTGGTTGAAAGTCTCTACACAGTCCAATAGTAATGATTACAGTAAATGATCTAAATGTGTTTATATGTATTTTTATATTCAGGGTAAAGCATAAAACTAAAAAATGTTTATCCAATTAAAATAGTCGGACAGTCATCTCCCTTAAAGGGCAGACTGTCTGTCAACAAATGTAGATTCCGACTTTCACGCATCTGTTCACGCAGATCCGCCATTAGGGCGTGCCCGTCTGCTTCACAAATGCATGCGCTCCGAGCGAGCTGCGGGCCGCTCGCAGATGCCGAGTCGGAGCCAGAGGCGCCGAAGGACAGCCTAGCTCAGGCCGATTACTGTAAAGCCAGGCGCGGGTATAATTCGCCCTTAAAGCGGCCGCGCGGTCACGAAACGGACCGCGAGAAATCTAATGCTGCATTGAAACTTTTGAAAATCCTGAATCAGTATTGGAGTTACTTTAGCACGCTGGAGAAAGGACGAGATCATGGCTGAAGTATTACTGTTAGACAGGTAATGTTCTGTTTTACACTATTTTAGTCAGGCTAAGCTTTTGTTAGATTGTTTTCTGTTATGAATTACTGATATGCACAGACGTGTTGTTCAGCCACTGAAATCTCCCAAAGAAAGATTGATGTGATTATTTTCAGTTTCATAAGGTTCTTTGACAGCATCTATAATGTAGATTTATTTTAACAACAAAACACCCGTAAATAGCGATATTCCGCCTAGCCTGCTTTATTGAGCTGAAGTTGCTTTTATATTCACATTGGGTCATTTTTGAACAATGACAGCCTTCCTATAGGCCTACTGTTTACCGCTAACGTTACTCTAAATATTCGCTCTAAAATAGCATGCAAGTGTGGCAAAGTATTTCATGTAATTCCTGCACGGCGCTGGCACTAACTAACTGGCGAATGACATCAACTAGTGGGTTGTCTGTCGGCTGTTGTGACGCGGTCTGCGCACTCGCGATATCAGGGGGTGTGGCTTTGAAGCACAGTCCCTTCCCGCCGTCCAAAGATAATATGCTAAGCGGTTAGCATTGTGGCAGATCACCTACTTCACAGATCAACTGCCTCCACAATCACCAAAACACTAAACTGGGAAGTGCTGGGATTGGAGATTTTTTTGGCGCAGCTTTTCAATTTGTTGTTATAAATGTGACCAACATCAGATTTCCAGTGTGAACAAATTCATGTTCCAGTCAGTCCCGTCCATGTCTCTCAAGGTTCGATTGAGATTACATAAAAAAAAAAAAAAATAAATAATAATAATAAAAAAATCACATTTTAAAGCATTTCCGCGAAGAAAATACTGCAGGATTAAAATGAAAGAACACAGAAAACTTACCACTGGCTTGCACATGGAGTTTAATCGTTCCTGAAGGGCCTTGGCTTCTTCGTCCAGTTCTACAGACAGAAAAGTATCTAGGTAAAAAACTCCATGCACGTCTTCCTTATTCACATGAAAGTAATTTATTTTCCATGAATGGATCAGCAGGGTGTTGATGTTAATGCTTGACACTATTGCCATGACAAGATCGCCATGGTGACATCACAACCAAGCGGCAACCTCCCGCTCTCCCTCAGGAAGCTAATTCGGAAGCAACTGAAACTGCAATTCTTCGAATTGCGCTAGTCCTGGCTCCATAATAGAGCAGATTTCTATTGAGCCCACTGTTAACTTTACTTGACTTTACAGCAAAAAAAAAAAAGATGTTTAGAGCCTGGTACAGAGAAAGATTTTAGTGTATATAGCTAATATTAGCCTTCATGACAACTGTGAGGTGGTGAATTTTTTAAGTTATATTAAGTCTGCATAATTAAGAGCGTGGCCTTCCTAATATGAAGTTTAATTGTAAGCTTGGCAAGCAATTTTGGAGAATTTGATGTTTCCCCATTTAAACAGACTGCCCGAGAGGCATTTCAAAGATAGTCGACGAGTGAAATGACTTGCCTTAAAATACAAATGAAATCCAAACTAACCCTATGATTTTGTTAGCTCACATTGCGAGTTTTGTAGCGAACAATTCATCGGTGCATGTTATTAAGAAAAAAAATCTTGCCCTTCTAATCTCTTGACAACAAACAGAAATGGTGAGGAGGACGTATCTATTAGGTCGTAATCACTCTCTGCAACCCTTTTCCAGATTTTTCTGAATGAAATGACTACTTTACTATATCCAATCAGCTCACAGTAGAAAAAAGCCACGCCCAATGTTGTCTCATTTAATATTCAATTTCTCTAGAAACTGCGTCACAAAAACAGTCACAGCTTCCGGTTCATGCAGAGTTTAAAGGGACTTTGCTTTTAAACTTCTGCAGCTAGCAATGGGCCAAAAGCAACTCGACGGACCCTGAATTTAATTTGGCATTGTTTGCAATCAATCGATTTAAAGTAAATGAGAAGCACCAATGTTGCCCCCCTGTGTGAATGGGGGAGGTAATAGATAGAGCAGTAAGGGTCCGCTGGTGTACAGTAGCTGAAGCTGAGTTCCTCCAGGCTGGAGTTGGTTAGCACTGATAAATGACTGAGTCAGTGCAGGGTAATTACTGCTAATGTCATCTGCAGCAGCTTTAAGCCCAGACAGCTAATGAGAACAGAAATGAACAGCTCGAGAGACGGCCTGCCCCCTGGAGACCAGTTTCACGCCCAATGGGTTCCTGTATCAAAGTCTACCTGAAAGTTTTGATACGACTGTCCTAGGACGATGAAGAAGCCTTAATGGGTCTTTGGTGTCTGTTATTGCTGATAGCTATTGTTAATAGTTCACAAGCTGAAGTTATTGCATGTAGTGTCCTACTCTACACTACTTTACTAGTGTCCCACAATACTCCACTAGTGTCCCACCCTACTCTACTAGTATCCTACCCTACTCTACTAGTGTTTCACTCTACTGTACTAAAGTCCTACTCTACCCCACTCTACTAATGTCCTACTTAACTCTACTAGCATCCAACTTCTGTGCAGCGCCTGAAACTACGGATACTGGAAGCCTATTCTACCGGACGAGTGTCCGACTCTAACCGACAAGTGTCCGACTCTTCTCTATCATACAAGTGTCTGACTCTTCTCTATCATATGAGTGTCTGACTCTTCTCTATCATACGAGTGTCCGACTGTACTATAGGATTGTCTGACTCTTCTCTATCATACGAGTGTCCGACTCTTCTCTATCATACGAGTGTCCGACTCTTCTCTATCATACGAGTGTCTGACTCTTCTCTATCATACGAGTGTCTGACTCTTCTCTATCATACGAGTGTCTGACTCTTCTCTATCATACGAGTGTCCGACTCTTCTCTATCATACGAGTGTCCGACTCTTCTCTATCATACGAGTGTCTGACTCTTCTCTATCATACCAGTGTCTGGCTCTTCTCTATCATACGAGTGTCCGACTCCACTATACGAGAGTCTGACTCTACTATACGAGTGTCTGTACGAGTGTCTGACTCTATACGAGTGTCTGACTCTATCATACGAGTGTCTGGCTCTTCTCTATCATTACGAGTGTCCAACTCCACTATACGAGAGTCTGACTCTACTATACGAGTGTCTGTACGAGTGTCTGACTCTATACGAGTGTCTCTATACGAGTGTCTGACTCTATCATACGAGTGTCCGGCTCTTCTCTATCATACAAGTGTCCGACAGAACTATAGGAGTGTCTGACTCTTCTCTATCATATGAGTGTCCAACTGTACTATAGGATTGTCTGACTCTTCTCTATCATACCAGTGTCCGACTCTTCTCTATCATACGAGTGTCCGACTCTTCTCTATCCTACGAGTGTCTGACTCTTCTCTATCATACCATTGTCTGACTCTTCTCTATCATACGAGTGTCCGACTCTTCTCTATCATACGAGTGTCTGGCTCTTCTCTATTATATGAGTGTCTGACTCTTCTCTATCATACCATTGTCTGACTCTTCTCTATCTTACGAGTGTCCGACTCTTCTCTATCATACGAGTGTCCAGCTCTTCTCTATCATACAAGTGTCCGACAGTACTATAGGAGTGTCTGACTCTTCTCTATCATATGAGTGTCCGACTCTTCTCTATCATACGAGTGTCTGACTCTTCTCTATCATACCATTGTCTGACTCTTCTCTATCATACGAGTGTCTGACTCTTCTCTATCATACGAGTGTCTGGCTCTTCTCTATCATACGAGTGTCCGACTCTACTATACGAGAGTCTGACTCTACTATACGAGTGTCTGACTCTTCTCTATCATACAAGTGTCCGAATGTACTATAGGAGTGTCTGGCTCTTCTCTATCATATAAATGTCTGGCTCTTCTCTATTATACGAGTGTCCGACTGTACTATAGGATTGTCTGACTCTTGTCTATCATACGAGTGTCCGACTCTTCTCTATCATATGAGTGTCCGACTCTTCTCTATCATATGAGTGTCTGACTCTTCTCTATCATATGAGTGTCCAACTGTACTATAGGATTGTCTGACTCTTCTCTATCATACCAGTGTCCGACTCTTCTCTATCATACGAGTGTCTGACTCTTCTCTATCATACCATTGTCTGACTCTTCTCTATCATACGAGTGTCTGACTCTTCTCTATCATACGAGTGTCTGGCTCTTCTCTATCATACGAGTGTCCGACTCTACTATACGAGAGTCTGACTCTACTATACGAGTGTCTGACTCTTCTCTATCATACAAGTGTCCGAATGTACTATAGGAGTGTCTGGCTCTTCTCTATCATATAAATGTCTGGCTCTTCTCTATTATACGAGTGTCCGACTGTACTATAGGATTGTCTGACTCTTGTCTATCATACGAGTGTCCGACTCTTCTCTATCATATGAGTGTCCGACTCTTCTCTATCATACCATTGTCTGACTCTACTCTATCATACGAGTGTCCGACTCTTCTCTATCATACGAGTGTCTGACTCTTCTCTATCATACCATTGTCTGACTCTTCTCTATCATACGAGTGTCCGACTCTTCTCTATCATACCAGTGTCTGGCTCTTCTCAATCATACCAGTGTCCGACTCTTCTCTATCATACGAGTGTCTGACTCTTTTCTATCATACCATTGTCTGACTCTTCTCTATCATACGAGTGTCCGACTCTTCTCTATCATACGAGTGTCCGACTCTTCACTATCATACGAGTGTCCGACTCTAATATAAGTGTCCGACTCTTCACTATCATACAAATGTCTGACTTTACTATACAAGAGTCCAACTCTACTATAAGATATCCGACTCTTCTCTATCATAAGAGTGTCGACTCTACTATACGAGTGTCCGACTTTACTATACAAGAGTCCGACTCTACTATACGAGTATCCGACTCTTGTCTATAATAAGAGTGTCCGACTCTACTGTACGAGTGTCCGACTCTTCTCTATCATACAAGTGTCCGACTTTACTATACGAGAGCCTGACTCTACTATACGAGTGTCCGACTTTACTATACAAGAGTCCGACTCTACTATACGAGTGTCCGACTCTTCTCTATCATACAAGTGTCCGACTTTACTATACGAGTGTCCGACTCTTCTCTATCATACAAGTGTCTGACTTTACTATACGAGAGCCTGACTCTACTATTCGAGAGCCCGACTCTACTATGCGAGAGCCCGATTCTACTATGCGAGAACCCGACTCTACTATAAGAGTGTCCGACTCTACTATAAGAGTATCTGACTCTACTGTACGAGTGTCCGACTCTTCTCTATCATACAAGTGTCCGACTTTACTATACAAGAGTCTGACTCTACTATAAGATATTCGACTCTTCTCTATCATAAGAGTGTCGACTCTACTATACGAGTGTCCGACTTTACTATACAAGAGTCCGACTCTACTATACGAGTATCTGACTCTACTATATGAGTATCCGACTCTTCTCTATCATAAGAGAGCCCTACTCTACTATGCGAGAGTCCGAATCTACTATGCGATAGTCTGACTTTCACCATACGAGTGTAAAAGGACACTTGTATAGTAGAGCAGGACACTTATATAGTAGTGTTCTATTCTACACTACCAGTGTCCGACTCTACCAGTGTTTGACTATTAAACCACTGGTCCTACTTTACTAAACCAGTGGTCCTACTCTACTAGTATCCACTCCATCTCCCTCCCTACCTCCAGGCTCCACCTCCTTCTTTCTCACTGGGCTTTTACCCAGGCGGGTGATGGTGTTGCTGGGCTGTGCCTGATCCACGTTGCTCTTACCCTCCAGCCCGTTCTGGAGCTCTCCTGCTGCTCCTGCAGGGGGTGTCCCGAGGTTCTTCTGTGGGGACGGAGGGGGACTGTCTTTGGAGAGCGCCAGGCCTCCACCTCCACCTCCCACCCCCTGCTTATCCTTCAGCTTCTTTTGCAGACGCTCGTAGGTTTTACAAGTCCTTTCATCTCGATGAGCGAACGCCGCCCGGCCGTGTTGAGGGTGAGTTTCTGAGGAAGTACAAAAAAGTACATTTATTTATTTAGCTTTTTTTAATTTAATTTACTTAGCTTTTACTGTTTGTTATTTATTTTTATTCAGCTTTCATTTGTCTTTATTTATTGATAAATTTGTTGATTAATCACGATTAATCGTATCCCAACTAAAAGTTTGTTCTGACATAAAAATATAAGTATGTACTGTGTATAACGCTCATTGGCCACTTTATTAGGTACACCTTACTAGTACCGGGTTGGACCCCATTATGTCTTGACAACTGCCTCAATCCTACATGGCATAGATTCGACAAGGTACTGCAAATATTCCTCAGAGATTTTGCTCCATATTGACATGATAGCATCACACAGTTGCTGCAGATTTGTCGGCTGCACATCCGTGATGCAAATCTCCCTTTCCACCACATCCCAAAGGTGCTCTATTGAATTGAGATCTGGTGACTGTGGAGGCCATTTGAGTACAGTGAACTCATTGTCATTCTCTTCTGACCTTTGGTATCAACAAGACATTTCCACAGAACTGCCACTCACTGGATGTTTTCTCTCTTTTGTACCATTCTCTGTAAACCATTGGGATGGTTGTGCGTGAAAATCCCAGTAGATCAGCAGTTTCTGAAATACTCAGACCAGCTAGTCTCGCACCAACAACCATGCCATGTTCAAAGTCACTTAAATCCCCTTTCTTCCCCATTCTGATGCTCGGTTTAAACTGCAGCAGATCGACTTGCCCATGTCTAAACGCATTGAGTTGCTGCCATGTGATTGGCCGATTTGAAATTTGCGTTAACGTACAGTTGAACAGGTGTACCTAATAAAGTGGCCGGTGAATATACTTAAACGCACATCTCGTGTCTCTATTGATATACTGTGATTATGATGCGATTATTCATGATTATTAAGTGCCCATGTGTGCGTGCGTGTGTATGTTCACTGACCCTGCTCCGAGTAGATGGCTGGGTGTGCTGGGTGGTACTGGGAGATGTACTGGGGGATGTCTCCGGTTCCTCCAGCGAGGCCTGAGTACAGGTGCGGGGGAGGGTGCATGATGTGTGGGTGCGGGATGAAGGCCTGCAGGTGGGTGTGGGGTGGAGGATGGGGCGCGTGGTGGAGCGGAGAATGGGCCCCCGGATGAAACTCCGTCTGAGGCAAGACCAACACCCGCCTCACGCCATTCTCCTCAATGATCTACACAGACAGACAGAGCAAGAGACCTATAGTAAAGACCTTGAATACCTCAAGCTGAACCAGAGGACAAGCTGCCATGGCTTTAAGGTTTCTCATCAGTCAAATGATAATAAAAGCAGCACACACATCATTAGACAATACATTTTATTTCAGAGTATTTAGCCTGATTTGAGCTATATGTCTTAATATACACACTTTTGTAGTGATATTTTTCTTTTTTATTTACTGTGGCTGTGGACAAAGTTTTGTAATGGTCTTCATGCTTTTATCAAACTGACCACTGACCTGTTGAACGTATCCAGGAGGCACATAGATTTGAGGCACTGAACCGTTTGGGGACATCATGGGAACCTGAGCAGGACCTGCGGAGGAAACATTTAGAACATTAATAACTGTTCATACAAACTGTTCATGAACATCTGAGATAAAGTGCTTTGAAATTCAAGGGTCATGGCCTGATTCATTTCTAAATAAATCAGAATTTGATTTTAAATCCGTATGTTTAAAGTGAAATAAAAAAAACTATCTGTTATGCCAGTAGTGCCAATAGTAACTTTTCGTTTTTCCATCAATCTCACTGCAGGGTGTAACTACAGATGACTCAAGCTTTAAATAGGAAAAGTATCACAATTTTTTTTAAAACAAAATGCTAATGGTCTAATTTGATTCAATTAATTATGCTAAGCTAAGCTAAAAAAGTGGCCAGAACAAGAAATCTATGGAATAGATTCAAAAATGATCCAAGTGAAATGTTTAACTTGAGGAAACTAATAAATTAAGCATTTTCCCAACAAACAAACAAATAAATAAATAAATACATTAAAGCAGAGTGTTCCTTTAAACACTTAGCATCTCAGAAAAAAATAAAATAAAATAAAAACAATCGCCATTTTCACTGAACATTGCAGTTCACCTTCACATCAAAAAACGTTTGTTTTTTTGTGTTTTATTTTTACAAAATGTTAATGGTCTAATTCAATTCAATGACTTATGCTACGCTAAGCTAAACAGGAGGCTAGAACAAGAAATTTATAGGATAGGTTCGAAAATGATCCAAGTGAAATGTTTAACTCGAGGAAACTAATTAATCAATTTTCCAACAAACAAATTAACAAACAAATAAACAAATAAATAAATACATAAAGCAGAGTGTCCCTTTAAACACAAAGCATCTCAGAAAAAATCGGCCATTTTCACTGAACATTGCAGTTCACCTTCACATCAAAAAACTTTTTGTGTGTGTGTGTGTGTGTTCTATTTTTACAAAATGCTAATGGTCTTATTCAATTTAGTTCATTATGCTAAGCTAAGCTAAAATTGTTCCCATCAGAACAAGAAATCAACTGAATGAATTCAAAAATGGTTCAAGTGAAATGCTTAACTCGAGAAAACTAACAAACTAAGCATGCTTCCAGCAAACAAAAAGATAAATAAATATATAAAGTGGAGTGTTCCTTTGAACACAAAGCATCTCAGAAAACGCTGTCCTTATCTATTGCAGAGAGCAGTTTACTTTCACATGAAAAAAGTCTGGGATTTTTTTTAATGAAATGCTAATGGTCTAATTCGATTCAATTCATTATGCTAAGCTAAGCTAAAAGTTACTCTGCCAGGACAAGAAATTGACTGAATTTATTAAAAAATGGCTCAAATTAAATGTTTAAGTCGAGGAGACTAGTAAATTAAGCATTTTGTCAAATAAATAAAAAAGTGGAGCGTTCCTTTAAACACAGAGCATCTCAAAATAATCTGGCATTTTACAGCAGAGTGCGAATCACTTTCACATCTAAAAAGTTTGGGATTTTATTTACAAAATGCTAATGGTCTAATTCGATTCGATTCATTATTCTAAGCTAAGCTTAAAGTGACTCGACTGAACAGATTCTAGTGAAATGTTTGACTGAAGGAGACCAGTATATTAAGCATCTAAAATAAATATATGAAAAAGCCGAGTGTATCTTTAGACACAATACATCTATAAAAATAAAAAAATAAAAAAATAAAAAAACTGCCATTTTTACTGTGGTGTGGATCACTTTCACATCAAATGTATATATATATATATATATATATATATATATATATATATATATATATATATATATATATATATATATATATATCTATATATATATATATATATATATATAGATATATATATATCTCTATCTATCTATATATATATATATATATATATATATATATATCTCTATATATATAGAGGTGTGTATCTATATCTCTACATATATATATATATATATATATATATATATATATATATATATATATATATATATATATATATATATATTTTATTTTTATTTTTTTAAATGCTAATGGTCTAATTCGATTCAATTCATTATGCTAAGCTAAGCTAAAAGTTACTCTGCCAGAACAAGAAATTAACTAAACGGATTCAGAAATGGTTCAAGTGAAATGTTTGACTCTAGGAGACTAGTAAATTAGGAATTTTCCAAAAACTAAACAAATAAATAAATAAATAAAGAGTGGAGTGTTCCTTTAAACACAAAGCATCTAAAAAATTCTGGTATTTTCACTTCACTGTGCAGTTCACTTTCACATCAAAAAACTTTTGTTTTTGTGTTCTATTTTTACAAAATGCTAATGGTCTAATTCAGTTCAATTCATTATGCTAAGCTAAGCTAAAAGTGTTCCCACCAAAACAAGAAATCAACTGAACAGATTCAAAAACAGTTCAAATTAAATGTTTAACTCGAGGAGACTACTAAATTAAGCGGTTTTTATAAAAATAAATAAAATAAAAAAGCGGAGTGTTCATTTAAACACAGAGCATCTCAAAATAATCTGGCATTTTTACAGCAGAGTGCGGATCACTTTCACATAAAAAAATCTGTTTTTTAAAATGAAATGCTAATGGTCTAATTCGACTCAGTTCATTGTGCTAAGCTAAGCTAAAAGTGACCCCACCAGAACAAGAAATCGACTCAAAAGATTCAACAATGGTTCAAGTGAACAGTTTAACTCTAGGAGACTAGTATGTTAAGCATTTTTTCAACTGAATGAATAAAAAAATAAATAAAAAGCTGTGTATTCCTTTAATCACAAAGCATTTCAAAACAATCAGGCATTTTTACTGCAGAGTGCAGTTTACTTTTACATCAAAAAATGTCTGTTTTTTTTAACAAAATGCTAATGATCCAATTGGATACACTTCATTATGCTAAGCCAAGATAAAAGGTACTCTGCCAGAACAAGAATTGAACTGGATTCAAAAATGGTACAAGTGATCTGTTTAACTCTAGGAGACTAGTAAATTAAGCCTTTTCCCCAATCAATCAATCAATCAATCAATAAACTGGAGTGTTCATTGAAACACAAAGCATCTCAAAATAATCTGTCATTTTTACTGCAGTGTGCAGTTCACTTTCACATCAAAAAACATCTGTTATTTAATAAAATGCTATTGGTCTAATTCAAATCAATTCATTGTGCTAAGCTAAGCTAAAAGTGTCCACACCAGAACAAGAAACCGACTCAACAGATTCAACAATGGTTCAAGTGAACAGTTTAACTCTAGGAGACTAGTAAATTGAGCATTTTTCCAATCAATCAATCAATCAATCAATCAATCAATCAATCAATCGGAGTGTTTATTGAAACACAAAGCATCTCAAAATAATCTGGCATTTTTACTGCAGTGTGCAGTTCACTTTCACATAAAAAACATATGTTTTTTAATAAAATGCTAATGGTCTAATTCAAATCAATTCATTATGCTAAGCTAAGCTAAAAGTGTCCCCACCAGAACAAGAAATCGACTGAACAGGATTAAAAATGTTTCAAGTGAAATGTTTAACTCTAGGAGACTAGTAAAATTAGCATTTTTTTCAACCAAATAAATAAATAAGTGGAGTGTTTCTTTAAACACAGCATCTAAAATCAATCTGTCATTACAGAGAGCGGTTCCCTTTCACATCAATAAACTTCTGCTTTTATTGTTTGTTTTGGTTTTGTGTTGTTTTGGCCCAGCATTGATAAGCATATTTAGTTCGTCATTGCAAGCAACTCCTGACATTTACTTAGCCGGGTAAAGAACCCCTCTGAGCTGAATGTGTCTGCATGGCAGCAGATAAAACAGCAGTTCAGTGGAAGTTTTAGCAACTGGAGTGTTTGTGCGACTCCGCAAAGCCTGTTACAGATCAGCTCTTTCATGCGCTCCTGACACTTTCACTTTCAGAAAAAGACCTGAGCCGGATGATGCAAAGGACAGCAAAAAAAACACACACACCGACGCAAAAAAGACACAAGTAAACAGACCTCCGTCCCGCTGTGCAGGTGTAGTTCCTTCGCTCATGGCAAGAGGGGAAAATAACAGTCCTCCAGGAGAACGGGAATGTGTGTGTGTGTGGGCTCGTGTTTGTTTACTGTCCTCTTGCCTGGCTTTAGTGCAAAGGTTTCAGTCTAGCTCCACCTTTCTAGGCTGACAGTTGACAGGTAAAAGTCCTCTGAGCTAAAACTGCCGAGTAAAGGGTCCGGTTTGGATGACAGGATCACGTTCAGTGCTGGTAGGAGACAGTGGAAGTGCAGCATCAGACGCACCAAAATAAATTAAAGACAGAAATAAAAGTGAAAGAAACAAAAACAAAACCAAAAGCATAACAATCGTTTCATTCTGTATATAAAAACAGCCACAGTAAAAAGATCAAGAGAAGAGGTTCGAGTTTCAGCTGGGTCAGTTGGCGTTTCTATGTGGAGTTTGCATGTTCTCCCCATGTTGGAGTGGGTTTCCTCCAGGTATTCCGGTTTCCCCCACAGTCCAAACAAATGCACTATAGGGGAATTAAATAAACTAAATTGACTGTTGTGTTTGAGTGTGTGTGGATGCAGAGTGTATAGTTGTTTCTCGGTACTGGGTTGCTGCTGGAGGGCCATCCGCTGCGTAAAACTTATGGTGGAATAGTTGGTGGTTCATTCCACTGTGGTGACCCCTAATAAAAAATGGACTAAGCCGAAGGAAAATGACTGAATGAATGAATATAAAATTAAGCCATGTTATGGATAAACTAAGATTTATGTAAAAGTTTGTTGAATTAATAAACTAAAAAACATCAATAACTAATCAATACAGCTTAAAAACTAATATTTATTTTTCTTATTATTATTAATTTACTATGTATATATTAATACATGTGCATGCATATATTTGATGTTTATTAATAATGTGATAAATAATCTTCATTTAAATATAAAAATATATGTGTTATAAATTTTTACAATTTTATATTATAATATAATAAATAAAAATAATAATACAAAACACACACACACACACACACTTATATATATATATATATACATATATATACACATATATATATAT